GGAAACAAGCTTCGATCCGGAACATTATTTCGCACGAGCGTCGATGCGTGTTTTATTAATTACACCCGATATATCGGCACAGCGGATACGGTGGAACCCTGGTTGTCGGTTCGCGGTTAAATAACCGCACCACGCTGTCGTAAAAAATTTAATCCGCTCGTATTTTTCCTCGCGTCACTGTTCCATTAAACGGGCCCGTAAATCGCGTTCGCGCGAAAAACTAACTTCTCCGCCGATGCACCGGAAGCGGCGCGACTTGCCGATATCGGCGCACCGGCCGATAACGAGGAATCCGCGTGCACTTGCGACGCGAAGAGGGAACGGAAACTCGCGTACTGGTTCGAGGGGTACGAGACCGGTATCGAGGCAGGTCTGGCGCGAATCGCAGGGACAGAGTGTGTCCGTTCGCGGCTGCGTTTCCACGAGACGATTCGGTGCCGAAACGTTCGAGCGTGGCAGAGAGTGTCGAGAGAGTTGGCCAGCAGGATTTCCACGGAAATAATCTGCTTACGGTAATCTTCTTGGCTTGCCTCCCTCCCGGTTAAGGTCCGCCTTCCACGAGGAGGACCTTCGTCTCCTCGCCGTGTATACGCGGTGCAGCATCCTCGACGGGAGCGGAGAACGCTTCGAATCCTGGTCGGTGCTGGGTTTTCGCGTGTACCGAGTAAATCGTGCATCCTTCCTTTTTTCCGCGCTTCTTTGCAACGCGGATCGTCCGTGGACGTAACCACGTCGCGAGATCCGAGAAATGTGCGAAAACGGGGTGAACGCGTGTCGGAGGAAAGGTCGCGAGAGCGCGGGCAAGAGTCGGGGTGAGAAATTACGGGGAAGAGGTGATCGGGAGATCGTCGAGTGCATCGAGTTGGGAGAACGGAGAGACGGTGTAACGTGTGATCGGTTTTTAAGATGGCGCGAGCCTCTCGAGGGAAGGCTCGTCGGAAAGACGGTGCCAGGAAGCGGGGTGCTAGCTGACCTAGAGGGACGAAAGCTGGGCGAAATTGGTCCGTAGGAATCGGTAAGTCCGGTGGACGGTCGTGGAGAGAAGCGGGGAAAGAATGAAAGCGAAAGAAGAAAGGAAACGGAAGAAGGCGAAGGAAGAAAGAGGAGCTGATCCCTGTCGGGAAGAGGGTAGCGCAACCCCATTGGAATCTTTTTTCTCTCGACCGGGAATAAAACCCAACTACCCAAGTGAGAGAACAGCCCCGAAGATAGGTATATACGTACATATATACGTCTAGCTCATGGCATTTCCACGGGAATTAAGTTTTACGCTCAATGAACGCGCAACAACAGCGTCCTCCGGGCTAAATTGCATTGAATGCGACTCTGCGAAGAAACGTTTCCTCGTGACTACGTGGATACCACCTCTTAGCAGAGGCATTCAAGTACGATCCCGCTGTACAAGACGCCCGCGGACAGGTTTTGTTCCGTGGAAAATCCCGCCCTCGACTTTGAAGCATCAAGACGCGACCTTCTTTCCGCTCCGAGGGCGATTCCTGCGAGCGCGACGCGTTCCTCCAGCGCTCACATCCCCGACGCTCCGCTGCCCCGACACCTCGTGACGCGATTGCCAGGATCGCCGCGGAAGGAAAAGATGGCGAGAGATTTTGCAATAACGATCGCGACCGCGATAGTGGTCGAAATGCATATTTGGTGAAATCGGTTAATACCCGGCAAGTACTTTTTGGCTTTCTCCGGTGCTATCCGTGCGCAACGCGCCCTCCTCTTCACGCACAGACTGTACGACGACGTACGGTACACGTCCATTGTGGACGCCCGGAGCGAGAGAGTGCTCCTCGGGAACAATGCGGTTGTGTGCAAACACTCCTGGAAACAATGCGGCCGGAACTTAACTTTCCGCGGTAGCTCCGCTAGAGTCGCTCCTTGTGTGCGACCGAATATAACCGCGTCGCAAATTGTGCTCGCAGACTTGGCCAAGTCCGCTATATTTCTTCCTTCGACCGCATTACGCTGTCTCGCGACCGTCATCCGCCTCGATTCCCGAGAAATCGCGCGTTCCACGCCGATCCTCCGGCTTCCGCGCGAGATTCATCGCCGAGCACCGCGAGCACCGCGAGCACCGCGAGCACCGATCGGATCGGCCGTGCGATACTTTCCCGATAATAAGCGGACACCCGGTTTAAATCCGATCGCGATTAATTGCCCGCCGAAGAGACCGGTGGCGGTGTATATCTGGCCGCAACGGAATTCGCTCGGCGGGTCGGTGAACGGGGAAAAATAGGCACGCACGTGGCCGTCGCGGATCCATTGGATCCGTAGACGCGATTTGTCGAATGTTCGCGTATCGAATTCTTAAGCGAGTCAGCGCAACCCCCGAGACGCGCGCACACGCGATACGCAATAATGGGGATTTAACAGTCATTAGGGACAACGTGCCGGTGTGTACGTCGATTGGTAACACAAAGTGTTTGCAGTAGGGCCGAACTGACGAAGGGCGAGGGTGGGGGCGGCTGGTTGCAGCGGGAGATCGATTCATCGGGGGTGGAAAAGGCAAGCTCTCCGTCTTTCTCCGACTCGGACCGCGCTTCTCTCTGCCTTTCCGCTACAGCAGGGTCGTAGACTACTCGAGTACCCTCGAGGGCCAATCGAGTGGCGACTTGGACATTTTGTCCACACTTGGCGGCCTGTAACAAGTGCATTGTCCTGTGCGCCGAACTGCACAAAGATAAAGAGACTTCTGGCTACCGCGGAGCAGGAGAGAGGATTCTCGAGCACCTCGCTCACCCCCCCCCCATTCGACTTTCCGATTTCGCCGCGTGCTTTTAATATCACGACAGTGTAAATAAGTGTGGCAGCCTCGTAATAGACTTGCCCTGCCGCTCGCTCGAGGACCGACCATTGTTTCCAAAAGCGCAGCACCCGGTTTTATCGATGGCCAGTCGCGGTTCAAGTCGCTTCCGCCGATTCGAGGCCCGCGTCGATTAAACGTTGGTGCCGGTACCGGTAGTGGTGGTGGTGGTGGTGGTGGTGGTGGTGGTGATGGTGGTCTCGCGACGCGTGGTAGTACATCCTTCGGCACGGATCTCGCAGGTACGAACGAAAATACGAGGGGTGGAACGAAGCGAAGAAAAATCGAGACACGGAATATTGCCGTCCGATGATTGTTTGCACGTTTCTCAGCCATACGTCGGCTTGTAACGAGTGCTTTGTGGCTAGTGTAAAGCGCAGGAGCGCACAAAGGTAGAGATTCGCGCCTGACTTACTTCACGAGGACCCTCGAAAGCCGCCGCCCTTTCTTCGCTGGCCTTCTTTTCATAGTGAGCCAAATTTTAATATAGCGTGGCTGGAAAGAGGCGTCGCGGGGAAGCTCGCGCTTTATGGATTCTCTTTCATCGGGCTGAAACTTCATTTCGGTGGGAGGATCTCCGGCAAAGAACGTAATTAAACGGAAAAGTTATCGCGGCTATATTGTTTCGGTCTACTCTCCGACTTTCTACCTCGATCTTTCGCCTTTCCATTTTTCCCCTCTCCCTTTTCCCTTTACTCGGGCCCCGAAACGGCGACCATCGGTCCATCGGTTGGCGCGTTAACCGGTTAATTATAATTTCCGCCGCAACCACCATAATCGCAGCCGAACGATGGCTTTTCGAGCGACTAAGCGGGTTTCGCGATCGACTCGCGGAAATGCTCGTTGAACTTCCGATGACGAACACAGCGTGCCACGATACACTGCGAAAGTCGAGTGGCAGTCGAGGGCCGTCATGGGTGTTTCATCCATATTTGCGCGAAGGAACTTCCGCTCGAGTAATCGCACGAGCACCGCGCCGAGTACCCTTCAATGCCGCGTTGTTTCTTTCATGCGAAACTTGCGGTTCCGATGCGCCGACCATCGAAACGGAAACAATGCTTTATTAAAGCGGGTTTAGCGATGCGAAATTTCATTTCGAACAAGTGCACCGTTCAAACGCGATCTACGATGTACCGCGAAATTACTTTGGGGTAGAACTTCCCGCGCCGCGAGTCCTCTCCGTTCTCGCCCCGAACCCCCGTAGCCGTCGACGCGCCATTATTATTCTTCTCGCGTGGACGCGACGGATCGTTATTTCACCGGTCAGCATCGAAGAATTTCGAAACGACACTCCGCTCGCCTTCTGCGCCACGTTGTCGTCATCCGATTGTTTTTCACCTCTCGCACATGTTAATTATCCGACGATTAGCTCGCCTTAATCCGAGACATATGCGAGGCGACACCCCGTTGCCGCCGCGGAGGAAGAAAGATACACGAATGGGGCAACGCGGTCGTCGCAGATGCGAGACGTGTGCAGCGAGGACGTAACAAATGGGAAGGCAAATAAATTAATAAGCCTGGATACGCGGAGGTGCGAGATCGAAAGCTGAGAGGAGGAACAGGGCCGATAGACCGACGTTCTTGACTTTGTAATCGGAGAGGATAAAACCGTGGCTTAAGCAGCGGCTAAACGTGAAACGGAAAGGCTGCGACGCGTATATACCCCGAATCGTCCAGGTCCGTCCCTTTTTCGACGTCGCTCTCGGTTTTCGTGAGGACGTCGCGCGTTTTCGGAATTAGCCTCGGAAGGCGCTGTCGTCCACACGGGGTCAACGGGGAAGGGAGCAGCCTCGAAAAGTGCCGGAGTCGTGTTGCATCTTCTTCGGATTATCCGACGTAGCCAGCTGCCAACCGCGTCGCTCTTATTTCCACTGTCCGCGATCGCTTTCGATATTCGTCTAAAGTGGCCGGGAACTTTCCATTATCCGCGACTTCCGTTCCAGGCGTGGTTTCTCCGCCGGTTGAATTACCGTTACGCCAACGATAAACAATCTGCCAAGGACTCCCCGGAATAATCGTTAACGCGGTCGCGGAATGACAGACGCCGGGGTGCAATTAGCCTGTTGCTAATGCGTTCCGCACGGATTGTTGAATTTCAGAAGCAGCGGGTAATTTCGACGAGCGGAGGAGGTTTGCGTAGACTCGGCCGCGAGGCGGGGGGGGGGTCGTGGTGGGGGCCGAGGGGGTGGTGATGTGGCCGAACAGCCTCGGCGGTACTTCCGGCTGCAGCGGGGGCGCCGGCGCCACCGATCTCGGGGGCCTCGCCGCCTCCACCACCTCGGCCTCCGATATGTTCGGGCCCGCCGCTTTCGGGGCGTCCGCGGCCGGGCCCTACGGCGCCCTCAAGACCAACCCTTACGTCAGCGCCCTCGGCATGCCGCCGATCGAGGCGCTCCACTCCACCATCGGCTACCCTGGTTGTACTCCCGCCGGTGAGTCCTACTACTGTGAGTGCCTCTTATTTTATACTACTTCCGGTTTCCTAGAATTCTAAGCGGCTCGGATTCGCGGAGTACGGCAAAGTCGCGGACGCTCTCTGTTGAAGGTAATCCAAGGAAGCAACGAAGGGAACGGACCACGTTCACCCGGGCGCAGTTGGACGTTCTCGAGGGACTGTTCTCGAAGACCAAGTATCCCGACATTTTCATGCGGGAGGAAGTAGCGATGAAGATCAACCTACCAGAGTCGAGAGTGCAGGTACGTGCGAGTAATTTTCGCGAAAGCGCGCAAGGACGTTGGTTTCCGTCAGCGAAGAAACGATATACGGAGACACGTAGGCCGGTGTTTCGTTACCGAGGGGTTGTAGTGTCGGCATGCAGCTACTGCCCGTAGACACCATCGATTTCTCGAATGCCCGTGTCTCCAGGATAGCGAGTGTTAACCGAGTTAGTAGTTCACCCCGTGAGTATCGTTCCCTCGTTAAAAAGTCCCGAAGAAATTCCGTCGCTGAAAGGGGTGTTCCCGAAGAGTTTCGGTGGATTCGAGCGATCGAAAAGGGAACTTTCCGTGACGAAAATGGCTGAATGGCGCACGGCGATTCGTGGAATCGTCGACTTGCGACAGTGTCACGAACGAAATCGTGTCGTCCGAATCGACTTTCGAAGCCAACGGGCACCGAAAACGTGCCCATGCATATTCCACCCTCATCACGAGCGGAAAGGGCGCGTCGCATCCGCAATTGCGGGCCAGCGCACCTGGTCCCAGCCCCGTAAATGAATTGAATGGGTCCAACCAGGCCCATAGTCTTGCGCACGTTCGTCGCCGACTGCAAAACCAGAGCCTTCTCTTCTCGTCGCTCGTGTTTTCTGACCCCTGTGCGGCTTTTCAATCGAACGCGACCGGTCAACGCGACCGATCGAGCTTCTCGTCCGATCCGACCTGTGTGCCAACTCTCGTGCATACCTTCGTCGTGGCTTGACAATTGTCATTCGCTTTCCCTCCGGGCGAACCGTAGGTGTCGCTCGTCGCGATTCAAAGGCGACGAGTAAAAGCAAAGTCGTTAGCGATGGCGTATACGTGGACGGGTGAAAACTGGAGAATTCGTACAGCGTACGTAGGAACATACACACCAGGGAACAGCTTCAGTGGAAGAACGCGGGTTGCTCGTGTCGTTCCCCAGAAAATCCGTAGAAACCCAAGCTCACCTCTCCGCTTCTAACATTGATCGCGCAGGGCTTCTCTAGGCTCCTCTCTTTCTCTCCTCCTCGCCCTCTCCTCCTTCCGCCCAAACCCCTTCTCCCACCCTTTTCCCTCCTCTTTATCTCTCGTTCTCTCTCGCCTCTTTATTCTCCCTCTTCGTTCTTCCAGCCGTTTCGTTCGCTCGCCTCCTCCTCCAAAGGTCGTTCTCGCGTTCTGGAAATCTAGGAGGGCGAACGACGGATCGAAGGACGGACCGAGTCTGTCGGACACTTGGACGGAGAATCGACGTTGACAGATGTCTGCTAATCGTGGTTCCATTTAATTTCCTCTCCCCGCGAAATCCAAGTCTCCGGTATTCGGAAAGTCTATCGATCAGCGATGTGTCACGCTGCTCTGAAAACTTCGGATCGGTATTTAAAATCGGCGATAACAAAAAGCGCGCGTGTCGTATCGAAGTTGGGGCGAAAAATCGAAAGCTGGCAAAATTATTCCATTAACGGAAGTTTGCTCACACGTCAACCTGTTTGCTTTTCGTCATTTCGTTGCGTCGGCGGACACGAACGAGTCGGATACGTGCAGGTTTCCGTTCGTGTTATCGAAGCCGGCTTCATTGGTAATTGATAGTTGCGTCGGTGCTACATTCCCTTATAATTGGCTATTACGCCAGCTTTATGAAAGCTCTGTACACCGTTCCGTGCTCGTTTCACATCAGACCTGTACCTCGTCGCGTTTGAACGCAAAAATATGGATGGAAAGCTGCTTTCAGTCGTTTAAAAGATAGCAAAAAAGGAACGGAAAAAGCGACAAAGTAGAAAAAGGAGCATGTCGATACTCGGGAATGTAAGTATCTCGTTCCTTATCTCTCGAGAAATAAAACGGTCGCATCAGCGTCGTTGGCGTTCGGTCGACGATTATCGCTTACCTTTGCGTGTGCCGTAGGTGTGGTTCAAAAATCGCAGAGCCAAATGCAGACAGCAACAGAAGCAGCAGCAGCAACAACAGGACAAAGCACCGCGGTCGAAAAAACCCTCGGGGAATCCGAGCAACAATCCGCCCTCTGGAAAGAGTCCTTCGATTGCTACCACGCCCACGCCTGCTGCGGCGGTGCCTGCCACAACACCTCTGTAAATATCGCTTACATTAATACCTACTTTTCTTGGATAATGCTCCGACCACACCGCGCCATTTTTACTTGACAAAGAAAGGCAACTTAAATACCTATAGACCGATTAATGGAGCGTTTAAGCGATGACAATCGGACAGATCGATCTTAAACGAGCCACCCTTTCTCCGTCCTAGCAGCTTTTAACCTTTAACGGACGATCGTCTCTTTCGTGCGCAAACATCGTCGACCTAACCTACAGATTCACGTATTTCGATTAATTATCGCAGTCGCGCGAGTCGAATCGTTCCTCTCGCGAGAGGTTATATCGGTAAAATCGTAAATATCGTAATATTCACCTCTGTCGGGATACAAACGTTTCCTATCGGGAATGAAAACAGTGGTTGTTCATAGTTTCGATTCGTGTATGCGTAGAAGCGGAGGCACAGGTGGTTCAGCGGCCAGTTCCCCGGCTCTCCTGAGGGATTCTCCGCAGTACAAACCAGCAGGAAGCGCGACTAGTTTGCTCTTGGCTGCCAGTACAACCCCGCCGAGCGTAAGTTATCGACCACGGGTGCATTTCCTAAAAAGCTTTACCCTCGGTGGATAAGGGTCTCAGAGAACGTCTCGCGCTTTTCGCAGTTAGGGGGCACGGTGTACAGCAGCGGTGGCAGTAGCAGTAGTATCTGGAGTCCGGCTGTCACGGAGAGCGGCGGCGGAGTACCCGGTGACCATCAGAGGTTAGCGTGGACAACAACCACTTCCCAACAGCAGTGCTACCAAAATTATTCTTCTTACTACACGAACATGGACTATCTCTCGCCCGCCATGCATCAGCTGAATATCGTGGTAAGCCTGAATTCTTTCGTGTCGAGAAATTCGAAGTTCACGTGGCTGGAGCAAATGAAAAATATTTGTCGAATTACACGCAGGAAGGTGGAGGAAGCGGTTTAGACAATACCTGGAGTAAAACGAGGGACGAGAGCACTTCGTCCTGGTTTTACAACAGCGCCGGATGGGGCGACCGAAAGTGAATCGCAGTGTCGCCGGTTGATGGAAACGTCAAGGCTTCGGTACATATCATCGACAATAGCTAAGCGGACTCGATGGAAGTCGATGGCAGTCGCTGTTTATTACGACGCGAAACGCGGCCAAAGACAGTCCTCTTAATGTTAGACATATCGTTGAATCACCACCGCTGGGCCTCGGAATTTTTGTCGCACGACAAACGTTGTATCGCGAGTGCCATATACCCGTTCCCTTACGTTCGATGGAATCACGTGGCGAAATTTGAATCGATGTATCGATTTCGAGAGTACGAACGAGGCAACTGGTCGCGACGCGATCAAGATCGATGGTGCGGCGAGCGAGGTATTTCGAGGTTAACCGTTTAATACTAGCCTATTTTAACCTACCTTTCGATTTACCCAGATTCAAGTTTCGTAAATTTTACGTTCGATTTATCGTTCCTTTACGTTGAAATGTGCAATCCGGTAATAATTCTCTCGAGTCCAAGTATGGTATCATTTTCCTTCGTTGTACGATCGCTTGTTGTTAACCTAGTCATCTCGATTGTAAAGATGGACGAAGATATTTTGAACGAGAAAGGGAGAGCGAGAGAGAGAGCGAGGGAGGGAGGAACCGTATTGGCGGGAAGTGAAGCGATCACGTGATTTCGTGTTTTATTCCCGTTTGCAATCAGTGTTATATACATGTGATACCGTTTACATGCGAGTGAACGCGCATTTGACGAACGTATTCCGTAATGGTTCCGCGAGAGGTTCGCTGAATCTTTTGGTGTCAGAGTGAAATCCGGTGTATATAATATAAATAGCCTTTTGCGCCGTTCAGAGGAATCGACGTAGTTAGTTAGAATTTTGCAGGAAGCAACGACAGAATAAGATAGACCCTTCGTTATCTTCTTCGAAAAGTTTCTCGTCGAAAGTTATGTACGTGTATGTATGTACGTGTACGAGCACCATGACGTATACTATGTACATAAATTATATATATATATATACACGTGGGAACGCCGATCGTCTGTGTACATATGTACCATTTTTCCAAAACGTGAAGAATTACGAACTGATAGGATATTCGAGGAAGGTCGTGATTATCCGAAAGTTACTATTTTCATTCCGGTATCCATAATAAATCGCTATGGCGTGGTTTCGATTCGTTTCGACCTTGAATGTTATGCTATGTAAATAAACAAATTCGCGACGTGCTCGTGACGGAGTGCCAGTGGGAATTTATATTTTCAATTGTTCCATCCTTTACGTCAAGATCGACGCACGATAAGCGAGAGTTACGTCGCTCGTCTTACGACAGCCCCACAAACGCGAAGGTCGGTGCATACGTAACAGAGGAATCGAGACGAAGCGAGGAAATCGATACGTAAAGTGACAAAAAAAGTATATAGTAAACGTAGGGATGTAAGTAACATGATCGTTTAGATTGTTCTTATAAATATTACCGATAACGATACTACGATTACCGAGGGAGACAACAACGACGTACGTGTAATAAGATGTATGAGATAATATAACGAATTTGAATTGTAATCCTTGCGATTTCTTCAATTTCGAACGACACCAATTGCCCACCTCGATTCGCATTATTCGGAATATCGTCCGTTCGAAACATGGCGCGCGGTCTGTCGCGGACGAGAACCCGTTACCCCGCGTCGGTAACCTGCCCGACGCGCCGTTCGAGCCTGGCATCTAGCGGCGGCGAGCGGTACCAAACGGTCGGCCGTGAACCCCGCGAGCAGGGGTCGCTTCGACGCGGCGTGGGTTAGTGGCCCTCAGTATCGCGCGTCGTTTCGTGGTGTTCGGTTCGTTCGGTCTTCGTTCTCGTGCAGTGTGTTGATCCGTTTCGCAAACAAGCTACGCACGGAAGGACAATAGAATGACAGCGACGCGAAGGTTCTGAAACACGGAACGGTCTTCCTGCTCAGTCCCTGCCCGTCCGACTTCCGGAGTCGCGCATACCTCGTGTTCGTAGAGGTCGAAAGGATGCGGCGTCTCGACGCAGCTACGCTTCTGCTCTGCCTTCGTGAGTACCATATATAATACGACGACGCGCTTACGATTCGAAGGATTCCATCGCCCTTTCCTCTCTCCTCGGTTCACCCCCTGTTGGGGCCAGTGAATCACGGAAAGAGTAAGCAGAGAGGGAGAGCGAGGTATAAGTCTGCTATTATAGAAACGGTTTCGTCTGTCGGTCGAGATCGTTTAGCCCCGAGAGCTTACAACGGATCACCGTGCTCCGTTTCTCTCCTCCTTCACCGACCGCGCTATAATTACGGTTAATTGGGCCCGACTGCCGCGACTCCGAGACAAACGACCGCATCGGGCAATTTGCCTCCTCCTCCTCCTATTACTCCCTCGTCACTCTTTTCCACGGACACGTTACGTCCCCGAACGTAACTCCTCTATCGAAACGTTTGCCCGAGAAGATGCCGAGTCGCGATTAATCCGGTTTTTAACCGCATTTCTCGCGCGAGTCGGGCCCGGATCGCAGGGATCTTTTGATCGAGAAAGAAGCGAAGGAACGATCGGCGCGAGACCCTTTAAACGGTCGACTGGACGACCGAGTCGAGTCGTTGCCGCAGCGAGAGAGATTAGCGAGAGAGAGAGAGAGAGAGAGAGGAGGGAGCGGAAGCGGTACGGGGCATTGGCTGGAGATGGAGAACAGAGAGGCGGAATCGAATCGATCGCTATCGGATCGGCCTTTAACACTGGCGGCGAATTCCGGCAGGCCCAGGTGGAAAAGGCCGGGGCCCGTGGGTGCAATTTGCAATCGGTGGGCCGAATCAGCCCCGCCGATCTCTCGCGAAATTCCGCCCCGCGGCTCGATGCGACGATGCGTCGTTGATAACGATGCCAATGTCGCCGGTGGTGTGTGGCGATGATGGTGTGGCGACGGTGGTGTCGATGGCACACGGTGTGGTGGTCGGGTGGATTTCTTCCTCCATCGTCCATGATGCCGGCCGGTAACCCACTGCTGCCGTCTCTCTCCGTCTCCCCCTCTGGCAGAGGAGAGAACCGGTTCGATAGCCATGCACACCTAGAAAGCGAATATACGCAGACTCGGCGGAAAAGGGGGGCCATATTACGTATCCACCTACCTAATATCGACGGTAACGTCGTATACGTGCGGCCGCACGTGTAATTAGTAGCGATGGCTGCGGGCCCGCAGTCGGCCAGCTTTCCCCGTGCGAGTCTTTCAAAAACGACCACTCGCGCTCTCGTACGCTGTCGGATGCTCGCGATAACCGCGCCGAAGGATGGAAAATTTTCCGGATCCGTGCGAAATCCGGCAAGGAATTCGATTAGCGAGCGTCGGAACTCGCAAGCGTCGCGGAGGATCGATCGGAGCGGGTCTAAAAGCATCGCGGTCCCAGAT